ATAACTTTATAACTGAATAGGTATGATGATATTTAAACTTTTATCATACTATTCCATTCATAAAGATCAAATAAACATAATCATTCATAACATTATTGATTGATCAAGGTCAAAGGTCATATGTGCTTGAATTATACCCGATCGGGTATCAATATATTGTGTGTTTACCTCTTTACAAGAGGAACATGATAAGGGTCAAGATTTTCGTAATTATCGAACAACAAAAAGGTCAAATTATCTAACCGTCAAAGACAACTCAAAAAGTTTTCAGCAAGTGTTTGATTTCTTCAGTTTTCGTCTTTTGAATGACGCAGCATTTAGAGGTAAGTTTGTATACTCGATATTTCACTTTTAAAACTTAAATTTAAATTAAAATAGGTTTCACTTTGCACTGTTAAAGGGTCTTCGTTTACGAATAAAATAATGCAGAAAAGATATAAAGATTAAGTCTTCTGAACTAAAATTAATGGCAGTATTTCAAAAACAACCGTAGGTAAATTTGGATCCAAAAGGTTGATATCAAGGTCAGTCAAAAATTTAGGTGTAAAATATTGTTGTCTAATGTTTTGGCAGGGTATTTACTAATGTTTTTACAGGTATTTTGTTGGTAAAATTTGTAAGAATAGTAGAAAGTATTCAAATTGCTATTTATCTGATGAAAAGTTCAAAAATAAACCCCTTTAAATGACCTATTTTCAAAATCACACATAACCAGAGAAAATTCAAAATTTTGATAGGCCTTATCCTTAATGTAAACATTCATTATGTGGGTGAAAACAGTATAAACAAATACTCTTACAACATTAGATCAAGTTGATAGACCATGTTGACAAAGCCACTAAATAAATATACCCGGCTACAATTTATGGAACATTGCCAGGGGTAGTAAAATTATAGAGTGATAGTGAAATTCTACCTATGTCAACAACATTCAAATAATTATTTCAATAGGTATGAAACCGCTTCCTTGATCCTTCAAATTGGAAAAGTTGTTGTTCCACAAATTGATAAACAACTTGTACCTGCCAGAAAAAAATAGGTTCAACTACAAATGTATTTTTCAAGGTTCCCATTTACCCCCAAAAAATAATTGGCATATTTTAAATACTGAACAATTCTGAAGGGTAAAGCATCTGCCAATAATCAGTGAAAATAATTTTAGATGGACGCCATAAAGTTACACAAAAAAGAGGTTAAATACAGGGCCAATCCTTAATCTTCTAGGAGCCCATTTGAATTAAAAAAAGAAAAATTGTAATGGATATTTGCTTTCAATAGGACGTTTTTGTTTTCAGTTTTAAGTACATATGGGTGAAGAGAGTGTTTTGATTAAAAGGAGCATGAGTGCATGACTTCAATATTTAGTCTATATTTCAATTCAATTCATTGCACTTTCAAAGTGATAATTTTCACTAAAAATAAACTTTAAGCTGGGTCATCATGTTAACCCCTCCATAGCCTCTAACTTTACACATACTAAATTGAAAATCAGTGATCTGAATAAATACCACAAAGGACTAACTTACATTAACAGAAACAAAAGTGCACAGTAAAATTTAGCTGATATAATCTGTGAATGAAAGAAAAAACAAAAGCTAGGAAACTGAGATAACCCTGACATTGGTTTTTGTATGACGGGTTTATAAGTGCAGTGTAACGATAAACAATGAAGTTTTTCTAGTATCAGTTTCAGCACTTTAGTCCATCTAATTTTATGTCTTGGGTGTACAATGGATACTAAAAACATTTTAAAAAGCTTAATCATGACTGTGAGACACAATCAGAATGACCAAAGCGCTTATTGCTATATACAAAACTCATATAAACCTAAACACATCAATGATTTTAAAGATTGATTTCATATTTGTTATTGAAATATACTTTTCACCTTAAAATTATGGAGTGAAATGAAGCAAGTAAAGTTATAACGGTTAATTGAATACTGATTTCTCTGTAAACAAAATGATTTTCATTTATGATTGCACCATATAACCCAACCTTTGGTTAAAAAAATTTGTACAAAGAGTCATTCATATTTTATGTAAATACTGAAAAAGACGCACACATCATCTTCCGTCATAAATAAGGTAAAGTATTGTAAATCTTTTAATTTTGAATTTTTTATGAGCTTACATTCCTAGTTCCAATTGAAAGTCTGTTTTGGGATATTTTAAAGAAAGACTGAAAAAGACACAATTTATTTATATTTCCCCTTTTAAACTTATACTTGAACACAGTTTTATTGGTATTTCATGAAAAATTTACGTATTTGATACCAGTAAGAATGTTCTATTCTAATACATTCTGCATCCATGTGCATCACTTGGGAAATGGGGGTTTTCTAGAAGAACTTATTCTGGTTTATTTTCATCTTTTAAAACAAGTCAACTATGTTTTTTTAAATGATTAAAAAAAAAATTGATGGTGGTGCCAAAATAAATCATGGTAAAATTTCATTCAATTCTAAGCATTCCTCAATTCACATTATAAATGTGGTGTCATAGTTTTCTGATTATATTACAATGTATCCCCATTAAATGCTATTATGTCAAATATCAAATTTTCATATCAATTTTTACAGTTAATTTTTCATATCTTATAAATACCGTTAGTTGATATTCTAAACTTAAAGCTTAATTTGATACATCTGATATACTTTTTCAGCATCTTATTCTGAAATTTGAATTTAAAATTTGGACAGAGGATCTTAAGCTGGTATTATGTGACGTAATATAAATGAATTGCTGAATATATTCACATTGTTTAAAATGGTTTATATTGCCGGGGTCATCCGTCGGTTTCATCAATGAATAACAAGATATACCTTCTTACCATACTGGGGAAAAATGAGTTGGTCTGTAAAACCATACCTAGAACATAATCTGCTAACAGTAATAAAAGACTAATATGTACTTATGCTGCATTAGTGTTTGAATTCAATAGAGTGTTAACTAGAACATGTTTTTTTATACCTATCAATCTAATGATTAGTTTTCAACAACATCAAGAGGTTATTGGTGAAAATAAGGTTGTTATTCTAGATAGGAGAACTCTGATCTGATGTTTTGAAATTTTTTTTGACAACTCTGATCATACATTGAATAAATGTATTAGAGCTATTGAAAGCATTGTCAGATCAAATTCTTAGAAGGCTAGTAGAAAACAAGGGCATTCAGACCAAGTATTCAAAAGAATTTACAATATTTATGAAATCATGAGAGAGACTAAAGAACCATGCATGAAAATTGTCATGAAAAATACATCACTGTCAGATGTAATATTCAACATTTCAGCACCTCTGAAATAATTTTTTTTGTGGGTGCATGTACTAATTTTGGTTGATGGAGATTTTTTTTTTTCTTTGGATATTTAATTTCATGGATTTGCCAAAGTTTGCATACTAGTCTATAGAAAATTCACACTTTATTGAGCATTCAAATTTGTAGTTCGGTATCTATGTACATGTTTCCTGAATCCTGATATAGATTGTGGAATCATTGATGAACTAGGTACAACAATGTTGCACAGCTTTCAAAAAAAGAAAGATATATTCCAAGGGGTCCTTTTCTCTAAATAAAACTATAATTGAGATCTATATGTACTTTTATGGTGCATCTAACTGGGTGTGAATGACTTTACAACAGTGCAAATAAATAATAAAATGTTGAAAATTTAACTTCTATAGTAAATGATAAAAACATTAATAGTATTATTAAGAGTACATCAAATCTAAAATAGTTGCTTTTTTCAGCTATTAAATTTAAAAATCTTAAATTTGGTATTAGAGATACTCAGTTAACATTATATATTATGGTTTGTTGCTTAACATACTGTTGCGAATATTTCACACATCTTTAAAAGAAACAAGTTTGAAAACGTAACAAAAAGATTTCTGATATTATCAATGATTAACTTTTAACTATCCACACACACAAATCTCTGTGTGGAAATTTTGAATGATTTCAAATCAAAATCTATATGGGTTAAATTTTTCAAAACTTACATTAATTTAATACATGTATATAATAGCAAGGAATGCAAATTTTGGTAATTATCTTCCAGTTATGAAAACCATGTATAGAATTTCAACTATATCAAACAATTGTATATCCTGAAATTTTATTACCGTAGATTATTAAACAGTAGATGGCTTAGATTAATGTAAAAAAAATAATAATCCTAAATAACAATTGAAATCTGGAAATCCCAAATGTCTGCCAAAACTTAGATAAATTCGTTAAATTCTATATCTTGTCAATTTTCTTGGAATTAAGCATTTCAATTGGTTTATCTATAATCTAAAGAGAAGATAAAATTTTTAGATATCGTAAATCAAATATCAGACAAGGCCTCAATATGCTAATATTTCATTTATTTTGGTGTTCGTGCATATGTCATGTATCACCTATGTATTAAGCCAGATGTAATAGTATAATTATTACTAGTAACATGCCACTGTATTGTGAGATTGCATGTTGTATATTTATATACAGGGAAGAAGCCATAACTATAGATATAGATTTCTGTAAATCATATTGAATTGTAAGTGTATATCATACCTCCTGGGTGGGGGCAGTATTACAGGATATGAAATTAAAATCTATTAAAGTCATTTCACTTAGAAAAGTGCATCCTCAATCTTAGTTGGTTAAAAGGTTGAGGAAAACCATTTTAATATTCAGAGGTGAAAAAAATCTCTCTTTGCCAGTGGCAAGCAAATTTTTATGCTGGTTTAAGTAAACTCCCCCCCCCCCCCCCCCCCCAAAAAAAAATTAAAACAATGGCACCTAAATATTTTCAAATTGGTCAATTAAATTGGCCCAAATCAAAATGGAAATATCTATTGGTTAGCAGGCCACTGATCAAGTAAATCCTGGTTGATGAAACATTTATAAATCCATCTTTTGAATTTTTTCAGTTCAATGAAATGATTGTACAATGTTCTGTAATGCCTTTAATATGCTGAAAGACAATATATTCTAAGACTACTAACTACTTACACACAAGGGTGACTCCCAGACTCCAAGTACACGTCCATCAGGTGACCATTCAATTCCAGCTAAATCGTCTGTATCTGTCTGAAAATGCTATAAAGTAAACATAAAATCACACTCTATTATTAGCTAATTAGTTGGAACTTTCAAACTTTTAATCTATGTCTTTCATTTTTAGGAAATATGTCATCTCATTTTATCTGATGGCCTTATGGACTCACGTCTGTTCATGGTAAACAATTGTTGTAAAGCTGTCGTCTGTCAATGACCTTGTACATGTATCTACTTTTATTCATACTTAAAAATAATGTAGTACTAACAAACTTTTAAAGTTGAGAAAAACAAAATCCACAAAAATTGAATGAATATGGTTGTCTTTGTGTGCTGTATGCCTTCTTTGTTTTCATTTAATTTCTACATAAATCAGACTGTTGGTTTTCCCTATTGAATTGTACCACATTTTGTCATGTTGGGGTTTTTTAAAGCTTGCTATAAAGTATGAGTTCTGCCCATTGTTGAAGGCAATAAAGTGCCCTAATAGTTATTTACTTCCTCGCCCTGTGGTCTCTGGTGGATAGTTCTCTCATAGATAATCATACCACATCTCGTTATCATTACATGAATGCCTCCACTATTTGTAACTGTTTTAAACCAAAATATTAATGTGAATTGTTGATTTGCATGCAGACTGTCTAACTTACTTTGACAAGCTCCCAATTACTATAGGCAAAAATGCTCATACTTACTTTGACAAGCTCCCAGTTACTACAGGCAAAAATGCTGACAAAATCTTTGCAATCCCGTCTCTCTGCCAAAGCCATGTACTTTCCTTCACTACTAAAATCTATCGCTAAAGGCAAAAATAAATGTGGCATTAATGTGGCATCATAATGCACAAATATACAGATAAACTTTGGGTTTTATATTCCAGCTTGTTTCAATGATTGTAGCTTGTTCATTATCTCTCTGACAAATGGGTGTTATCTTTAGTAATCTCATTTTCTGTGTTTCTGTGTATGTTGATTTCATAGCAAATACAGCTGGATTTTGTTTATTGTTGAAGGCCACACTGTGATCTACAGTTATGTACACCTACATCATTTGGTCTCTGGTAGATAACTGTCCATTGGTAATCATACCACATCTCCTTATTTTTATACTATTAATTGGAAAATATAAAATAAGAACACTCAAGTTGATTCTTTTGACTGTTTTGAGGTTAATATACAGGTTTTTAATACTCACCTTCAGTGAATAAACTCTAACAGTACCCAAGAAAATGAGGTGGCTAAAGGGGAATAAATACATGATAAAATATATTAAAAAAAAAAATCTTAAAGGAACAGTAAAACCAAATGTCAAACTTGTTGAAAGGAGTTTTCACTGTACTTGACACCCACCCATAGTTGTGATTTCAAAGTCCCTTCCCTTGGCCCCTTTGTATTTTGTCATGGAACAGCCCTCACATGCATCCTCTCATTTTTGATCAACCTATGCTACTGCAGCCTACCTTTTTGACACTGTTTTGGGTACCGTATGTAGGATACTGACTTTGTTATCAAGGACCATACTGTCACTCTTAACTGTAAAATAAACATTTTTATCAATAAATTTTACTTCAAGTTGTCACTGATTTCAGTATACGTGTGCATTCATGTGATAAATTAAGCAAGTGTCAATGCCAATTTAACAACATAAGATATATAATATGGTACACACTACAAAAGCGGCTTCAAGATTTTTTTTCTTCAGTACAGTAATTTGATAGTTAAGAGCATGAAGAATCATATATCAATACATCCTCCAGTTAAAGGAATTAAAAGTGAACTGTAAAGAGATTGGAAGACCTTTAAGTTGGATAAAAAAAAATAGTGAAGTTCCTGATTTTCCATAACTGCTAAAAATAATGTTTAATAGTCTTATCATGGTCACTTATGGTGGAATAATTGTTCATTTTCATGGATTTTTTTAATTTACATGTCAACTCATTTCACTTCATTTACTACTAAATGTCATTATCAAAAATCTATTTACTTGTGTTGAGACAAATTTAAATAAAGTGTTCCAATTTTACACATATGTACTCTAATTCATTAAAACTCCAAGACTTACATAAGGTATAATAAATGTATGATGATTTAAGCTATTCTAGTCACAAGGAAGTAGTTTGGAAATATTTCACACTTTTATATTTAGGAGGAAAAAATATCCCTAGCTTAGGTCTGAGCCTTCTTGGATGACGGTAAATTCAGAAAAACATTTCGGACGCACAAAACTTAAAAGTGTTGTTTTCATTTGTTTACTGATTATTTTAGTTTCTTGTAGTCCTGATAAAAATAAAAAAACCATCTAAAAGTTCTTTTGTGTACAATATCAACATGATCAATAAGTCTTCAAAAACAATATTTTCATGCTGGACATCCCCCCCCCCCCCCCCCCATCCCCCTCCCTTAAAAAAAATGTTGAAGGGTAATTTGTCCAGCTAAGTTGACAAAATGATATAAAATCAGTTTAATATCCAAAAAAATCTCCTTTAAACAGCTCTGAAGTAAACTCAAATCATTTTAACTTGCGTAAATTTTGAATAATTCTTATATCAGACAGATCAATTTGGTCAGTCATGTAAATTTTGAATAATTCTTATATCAGACAGATCAATTTGGTCAGTCACTCAGTGTCTACTGACCCATCAAACTTATCAAAAAATATTTATTTTCATGTTTTTAAAAATAACCTATCAATTATTTACATTGTGGTCTAAAAAATATTCTAAAATTTGGATCACGGTGACATGTCATCGTAATCAATATGGGCTACTAATGGAGTAAATAACCGACAACAAAAACTTCAATTCCAATTTTCTAAGGTGGGACTGTAATTTTCTATGGGTGTTAAAATCTACCATCAATATCGTTATTGTTCTCCCCGTCATAAAATTACATGATGTTCCGATGATAAAAGTGAAATAATTGTCCCCAATTGTCAACATACAAACATAATTTGTGGGTTCAGTTTTCTATAATGTGACCCTTCAGGTTGTATACAACAGAGTTGTAAAATTATTTAAAAGTCAGTATTATAAAATCTATCAATTGATTGCATTGGAATCTATAGCTTACAGGTTGAATGTTAAAAAAAAAATGCTAAGCGTGATTAAAGAGGATGTCAGGTAAGAGAATTTTATTTTCCTACAAGAGCCTCTGGACTATGGATCACTTATTTTACATTTTTTTTTTATAACTATTAAGTTAAATAACTACGGTAAGAAACCACAAATTCAGCTTTGAAAAGAATTTTCAATTAAAAAGTAACCCTGTCTTTGTTGCATGTGAATCTCCCTATATCTTTAGTTTAAATAGGAAACAACGATTGATTAAATTCAATAATACAAAACTGTATGTGTGCAGAATTATATGCAAAGATTACCTAACCATCTCACCTGACATGTTTATGACTGTTTGCAAAATTTATTTATATTTATGTGCATTCATCTTGTTTTTGCCTTTCATGTTAAAGGTAATTAACTTCCAGAGATATATGTTAGAAAAGAAAAAACTGATTGCATGCACTTTTAAAGCAATGTATTAATATCATGAAGTAATGGTAAAGCTACTTTCTTTTCTATAATACCAACACTAACAGTAAAACCTATCCTGATTCAAATAAATATAGCTTCATAAATGAACACTTACATTAAAATCAGCTGTAGTCAAAATATGTCTGCCATCTGGACTCCAATGGACACCACATAATCCAGCAGAACCTTCATCTATTTTACAGTTCCAGTCAGGCTGTTCTATTGACCATACCTACATAGGATATATATATATATACAATTTGTACCAGTGCATTTATGACTGTATAAAGCATATACATGTATCAGAAAGCCTTTTCTTAACCTATAATCTTTCCAATGAAGGTTAAAAAGGGGGTTTGTGCAGGGACGAACGGAATATAAAATTGCCATTTTCACAATAAAAATAAATTAATAAAATACATTACAGGTTGCTTTCTTTCCAATTTGCATGAAGCACTGTATATTTATGAGCTTCAAGCAAGAGAATAAGTGAAATTAAAATTTCAATAAGTTGGATGAGAGTAACCATTTACCAACTGCTTCAATTTAATTTAGAGTTCCATTTTTTGGCTTAATACTTTTTAATTATATGTAATTGTAATCTAACAATTTTACAACATAAAAGAATGCATCTTGATCTGGCTGTAAAGTGCAAGTTCTTCAGTTTGTCATTGAATGCATTTCAGTAACAGTCAAGATGAATAACAGCAATATAAGTGCTCTTCCCTTCATATATTATGTTATTTTCCCATACTTATATATCTTTGAAAAATATTTCATGCACAACCATTCAAAAACAGTGTCAAAATTTTTTGTTAGAACATCCACAGATATCCAGGTTGGTTTCATTATTTTTTTTCAAAATTTTAGACCCTTAAAAAAACTACATGCATAGGAACTTTAGATGGACCTAAATTTTAAAGAAAGTCTAACTTTTGTCAGTTCTACTTATTTTTGCATGCTTTAACTGAGTTTGTTTAAGTAATGATAGAGTTATCTCCCCTAATATTTGATTGGGAGTTCATTCCATCAATTTAGAACTCTAATAGGGATCAATAACAACATTGGAATAAAAAAAATATATAAATTATTGCATATGTTATTTGGTCTCTCATTAAATGGGTCGATGGAGTTCATTGTTTAGTTCAAAGGTTCAAAATGAAATAACTTTTAGTTTTACTGAAGGATATTTCATTTTCTTGAATATGAGAAAAACAGTATATCAATGAGACAACAACTCAACCTAGCAAAAATAAGACAAATAACAGCTAGAGATAAAATAAAATTCTTAAATAATAGGCAAGAAAAGGTAACTTTAAATTGTTTAAATAATAATGAATTTAACCGTGTATATTCAACAACAGACTAAATATATTTCATCAACTAACACAAAAATGGAGAATGTCTCAATGACATGGAGTTAACTTGGAAATTTGCAATATATCTTTTTTTCTATTCAAAGAAAGTTTTTGTTCATGGACAAGACAAGACTGTCACTTAAAAATAGACCATGTCTGTGAAGCAATCTGATGAGTGAATAATGTCAGGAAATCATTTTTGGCCTAGTGTAGATTATTTATCTTCAGGGCTTGGTGTGTTCATTATAAATCTTTCTTTTAATAACATTACAATTTTGGGTGCTTTTAATCTTCAAATTACAGTTAATATAACTTAGTTACATTTTAAAACACATATAACCAATCATTTACTGCACAAAAAATCATATATAAATATCCTCTATAGAAAACTTAAAAATATGCATTTGATCTATTTCAAAGTTAAATTGTTGTACCCTGCTGATTTTCAAATAAGATATTAAAATTAAAATTAGGCTGTGAAGATATTAAACATTAGTTAAATCCAATGTGGGTCTTTATCTCTTTCATCTCTTATTTAGGGTATAAAATTAAGTGAATAGTTTTCTCATTTGTTTACATATGATAAAAATAGCACCTGCCGTGAGAGAGAAAGTGAAAATACACACACCATGCTGATCACACAACAGGGGGGACAGTTATACAGGTATTCCTCAGGTGTGTAATTACTGTATAGCAAACTTCAAAGGAGGGGAATCAGGTGAACTGGTGTTAAGGTGTTTATCAAAATCTACCACCTCCCTGTTGATAGGTTAAGAGATTTTGGAAAATTACTTACAAATCTGATTCTAATCTGATTAGCAATACATAGTTGCTAATTAAAATTACAAAACATCAAAGGGTTGTTCCTTTTTACATGAAAGAGGCATTGTATTTTTCAGGTGAAAAATATTTCATATTGATCCTTATTTATTTTTTACATATATGTTCTTTTATCTTTTTATCAAGATTAACAATTACAAAGATTATCAGGATTTTTACTTAAAAAAATCAAAATTAATCAGTGAATAAAATATAAAGAAATAACATATTAGTTTTCTTTTGAAGTTGCAAAATATTTTTAAATAATAAACATTTATAAATTGTAAATGATCATAATAGGTGTCAAAAATTGAAAAAAATTAGAAAAATAAACAAACACTGCATTTTGTTTACATTGCAAATATATAATCCATGTTTTTACATTGAATTCAGAATTAAATATACAAGATGTCAATTAGTTCTTATGCTGTCATTTAAATAAAAAACTTAAGTAGCTATAAGTACTATATATTAACAATGATTTTGGTCTTAAATGAACTAATTGACAAACATTAATTTCATATTTTCTTATCATAATCTAAATATGAAAGATTAAATAAGTACAAGTTTAATAATACGTTTTTTAAAACCTGTGTATACTTAGCTTTCCTTTGTTGAATTGAGAGGAAAGCTAAGTTTAGAAACGAAATTCAATTGAATTCATCAGCTTTGTTCTTAACCAAGTATTTTTATAGTACTTTCTTACTATTAAAATCCTTGGTTTAACATTAGACAGTACAACTTTGTCCCATATACTGTATATATGTCCCATATCTACCATATCCCTTTATTTTTAAAAATCATTTTAGACTCTTATCAAAACTAACAAAAAGCACAGTTCAGATAAGAGGAGATAACTCTAATTAACAATTTAAACAAGTAAAAATCTTGGCTTTTCAATCATATCAATTTTCATTTTTCTTCAAATAAGCTGTACTATTTTTACAAAGTACAATAAGCTCTACTTTTGAACAAATACCATAAAAGTGTCTATTTAAATCGATTTGGTTTGACACAAAAGAAGGTCAGAATATAAGAATTCATAACAGAAAACAATTTAATAATGTCAAACTTCTGAACAATAATCTTTTTAATATGTTAAGATTTAAGGGCTTTCAGTGCATATGTCACTGGTACAAAGTGTTGAGATTACAGTTTAGATGAATACATTACAATTACCAATTGTATACTAAATCTTTTTTCTATCACTTTTCATTATGAACTGTAAAAGCTAATGATGCAATGCTATTTAAATCCCATAAGATAAGACATTTTAATATCTTATTCATTGCTCTGAACGAAGTTTTATGCAATTTTATATAATATTGGACAAGCATATCTTGATTTAAATAAAGAAGGAAACTTAGAGCAGAGGTGGCAAAAGCAGTCTTGTGGCTCCTCTTTTGTATAGGTAAAAATCCAAAGTGAAAAATGATAAAATGGCCGACAATGCTTACAAGGTTTGGATATATCTTTTTTTTTTATTGTTTTATTGTATTGTTGGGTAGTTGCGTCACTGATTCATACCCTGCATTTCCTTTAATTATATCAAATACATGTGTACCCATATCTTTTTCAAATTAGTTTCTAGGTATTATGCATATAAACTAGTCATGCACTTCTACATTACATCAAACACACATATACCGATCCTTGGAGACCCTCAAGTTTAGTCAAGATTATTAAACATCCCCATTGATTGGATTTGATTTGATTTTTGGTGTTTTAACGCCACTTTTAAGCACCGCTTTTGGGCTATTTCAAGGCGGCACATCCCCATTGATGTAGTAACACTCATATATACTGTTTATTCAGAAAATTATTATGATGTTCATATTAATGCGATAAAATGCAACAGTATCAGGTTTGCAATAATAAAAACATGCATTCATAATTTAAGAACTGATTTTCCTTCACAAAATATTTGAAATCGCATTTTACCAGCAATTAGTTATTTTCAATAATAAATCCACACATTAATTTCTGAATTTACAGTATAAATTTACAAACAATGAGTTAGGCTGTGACCATTAGAAGATGTCCAACACTGACCTGTACTACACCTCTCTTGTATAAACCACACAGAATAAACTGGGAATCTGATGACCACTGAAAATATCAAAAATATAATTATTCTATCTATAACAAAACTTTACTTCTCTTCATTATGCTCTTTTTATATAAAATAAATTCTCTAAAAATTCATTCTTGAATCCAACAATGTTTAGATTATTCCCCCTTTATTTGCATGTTCATTTTGGATTGTGTAAATGTGATAACTAACTTCAAGTACAGCTTGAATATGAAGCTGGAAATAGTTGTTTATAAGGTAACTTATAATCTATCCTTTACGTCTAACCTTGGCTCAGCATTGCTGCAAACTAGTACTAGCTCTTTAAAAGGGGGATTTAATAGTTTAAGAGTCAAATTTAGGATTAAAAAGATAATTTCATAAGTTTGTGTATAAGATTTTCAGAGTAATTGCTGAAACTTTAAAAACATTATATCAAAGTTCATATCAATTTTTTTTGGCCAAATTTTTATTGCCTAGGAAATACTTTTGTTTTTTTTTTTCCTTGTTAATCCATCACATACTGTGTACATTTTGCAAAAAATTGTATATATCCTCTTTATTAAGTATCTGCTATAGAAACATATGGTACAGCATTTATTCATATTTTTTGGGTTTAAGTGATCTATTTTTAAAAGTCTATTTTTAGTTTGCTGCAATCCTGCCCTGTTTCATAACAAACCTCTATGCATTGTATGGTATCAAGGCAACTGTAAAGATTCTGTATTTGGAATGTATCTACATCTCTGACAATCAGACGAAATTCTACAACTGCAGCCTGAAAAAGAGGGCAACCATTATTATTTTAGCGTAAAATAGGCCATTGGTTTTCTCATTTTCAATTATTTTGCTTTTTTTCATGCTGGGTCTTTCTATAGCTTATTATATGGTATGGGGTTTGTTCATTATTAAAGGCAGTATGCTTACATCCATGTCATTTAGTCATTACAGTTTTGTTCATAACAGGTTTAACTTTATGCATGTTGAGTTCAAATTATATAATGCACAGAATTTTTTAACATGTTAATCTGTAATTTGCAAACCTCTTTTACATAATTTGATAAAGCAAACTCAGCCTTTGATTAAGCTTATTACTATAATAAAATGACAACATGATACAGTCTTAAACATAACACTGATTCAAACTTTATATAAGGACTCTAGATAATATAGGGACTTAAAATGCGGTATTAGTTAAAAAATATCAATAGAATCTAGCCAATCTGTTGTCCTCATTTGCAGCGTTATGCAAGAAAGGACAAAACATAAAGTGCTAATGTTAGATGCTGAAGTTTATAAATTTGCAGAAAAAAAATTAATCTGGTAAAGTATTGAAAATAAACTTGAATCACCTGTAAAAGGAAGGTGCAAGTATGTATACTTTATTCTGATAAACCGCTGAAGATACAAAGGTACACAGAAGAACATAGTCATTATACAATAATACAAAGGTACATATGTTGAGGAAACAAACAATCAATATACTGTTAGTCAAAATACTGACTACTTGTACAAAAAACTTCAAATTACAACTTGTCCACAACATCCATATTGTTATGAGTAATAGCATATAAAAACTGAGACTCAAGCAGAAAAGTCCATTGCAATTGGTCAGTATTTCTTATAGTTTATTATTGGACACCTTCCAGCAAGATGTTTGTCCCTTGCACAGGGATAATGTTACTGCATGACATTCATGTTTTTAAAAACATTTATGGCATGATAGTCAGTTTGAAAAGAATTCCGCTCAAAGCAGTGTGAGGGACTATCTTAAAACTTGCAGTGAGGCAAGAGTTTTTTGGCTCAGTGTTGAAGGCAATAAAAGGGCTGTTCCTTTGATATGTTTTATGCTATGGCTGTGTATGTACTGATTTTGTGTCATGAATGGATACCCCATATCCTTTTCTTCTGTTGTATTTATTCAGAAGTTAATTTATAATAAATTATACATGTTTTATCACCTGAACTTCAACAAATCTGCATTTAATGAAAAAAAGATTTATATTTGTGCCAAATGTATGTGTCTGACACCAGTACTGAGAGATTTTTGAAACATAAAAAATCTCAATGCCTATAGTGCAGCAATTTAAAAAAGCAGCAAGCAGCACGATAATTAATAATTTAGATATAATAATGTCATAATTATCATTTTATTTAACAAAAACAGTGTCAGACAAAATATTTGTTCTCCAGTTGTGTAGACATTTAAATAATATGTGTCAACAATATGAATTTTTAAGACCTTTTTGTTTAATTTCTTTAAGACTATAATTATCTATTAATTTATGTTTTTCTTAGACTAATCTCAATAAAATTACTTTGTTTTTCTTGCATTAATTTTTTTTTTAAATGACTGACATTTTTAACCCTTTATAATATTAATTCTTAATATAAACAGTTGAACACATTGTTTTCATAATACTATGCTAGTTGTGTATGAAAATTTTATAAAAAAAAATTCAAAATATTTTCATAACCTATTGCTTCATAAAAGCTATATTTTAAACCACAAAATTGAAATTATGCACAATACAAAGGTAATACATTCTACACTATAATTTCCACTCCTTTTTTATTGGATTAGAAAATCTTTTTCCATTTATTGCTAAGATCACACAAGCCCATTGAATTAATTAGAACACAAGCCAATTACTTAAAAGCAAAACAAACTAATTACTATGATTAGAAAATAAAAGACACAATTTAATTAGCTTGATGAAGTGAGTTATAGTTCTGAGCCTTGCTGGATGCAAATGATATTCTTTCTTTGAAGTATATATTGCAATACACAGCTAATAGGGAATACAAAAATTCAAAATATTTTTGAAAAAAGATAAAAAAAAAAAGTCACTATCACTTTTATGCTATCAGTATGTTTTAGATTGCTGTCTCATTGACAAACATTGAATAACCCTTAGAATATGAATACAAATATTGTTTCAATGTCGATCCCATTTCCTTTTATTCACATTCAAACTAGGAATATGTAAACATATTTTGTAAAAATGTGATTCAGTTAACCCACATAACTGCAGCTAGAACCATATTATTTATTTTTCAAAGTCAAGAAAAATAATATAACTTTTAATACATTGGCAAACAGCCGGTTCCATAAGAATTTTTTGTGAAATTTACATGTATTGCACACACTATGCCATTTTAGTCTTACTAAGGAGGTTAACTTATTAGAAAATATACCCTCCTTCATTTGTTTCAACGTCCTAGATTCTGACACATATTATTGTAAACAAGCTTGTATACATGTGAATCTTACCAAATATTTTCCATCAGGAGAGAATTTGCAGAGCTGACTTGTCTGACGGAACAGTTCAGAAAAGTTCATATTTGAAAAAGTTTATTTTTTATTAAATGTCATTGGAGATTTAAAGATGTTGAAGTAAAACCAATACACAGACAAGTGTCAACATGTGATTTCCGCCATTTTGAATACACCGCCAAAAATATTCATCCGACCAAAACAGCATCAATGCACACATGCAAAGAGTTTTCCTGCGCTGAAAAGCTTCTTCAAACAAGCGATTCCTCACTGTTATTGTTTTCGCAAGTCCATAACCCACGTGGAGCAAACACAATAGGTCATCAATTTGTTTTTACAAGGAACTTCTACTCACAAAACGGTAATCTTAGGTAATCTTTTTCATCGCACCGGCTGAATTTTGATTGGTCAACCAATTAACCCGTTAATCCTTTCAGTTGAATAAAAAATGAACGGTCACCGAGAAAAATTATCATTTGTCATTCTCATCTCAACACATTAATTAGAACAGGTAAGACAGATCCTACCTTGGATAGTTTTAATCAATGGATTTTATTTTGTGTATTGAAGAGTGCTATATGTTGTGACGTGTTTTCCCGCGGTTGCAACCGGCCATTATTTTATTTACATACCACGTGGTTACATGGAGGCTTCCTTCATTCGGAGTGTTTGTTTATATCTAGTATGGTTTGAGTGTTTTATCATTATCTTTTCATGTTCATAATCGTAAGTAAAGAATTGTTGTCGATACAGTAATAATTTATTATTCATATAAACTTCAAATTGAAAAAATACCACTATTTATTAATGAAGTTTTTATCAAATTATATTTTTTATAGTTCTCAAAAATGCCTGTCATCAAATTTTAATATCTATATATATGAGTTTTTAGAAAGTGGAAGCCTTCTATATAATTTTGTTTTTAAAATCTGTAACTTATTAAGTTGCTGCCATTTGAGGAAACAAAGGCGGCATAAAGCTTATATCTACATTTATTAGATATTGTATTTTGCTGAGGAGGGTTTTTTGGGTTTATTTTTTCTCTAGAATTTCTGTAGGCTAAAGTTTGTAGTTTAAAATTTATTAATTTTTAATTTAAAATTAAAAAGTGTATTGATGAATTTTTATGAAGCTTCATTCACGAAGGAGTCAGCCAATATAAGATGGATATTAGACAGTATAACGGTACCTGTATGACATTGTTGTCACACTTGGGTGGTTATACAGAGCAGTACCATTGGTCTTTCATACTTTCAGCCATTTACTATTTAGTGTGTGGAGTCATTCAAAAATATTCTTTGAAAGTTTTACCTGAGATGATCCATAATGATAATGAATTGAATAGTTGAGGGTAAACACAGCGAATGAAGATAACAATAAGGGTGAATGTTATATTTGACAACTCACATATTTAAGTTCAAGACTTCTTAGAAAGTCAACAGTTGAGATTTATGTTTATATTATTATTTTTTTTTTCATTGCAGATTTGGAAAGTTCACTCATCATCACCCCATAATGTCACAAGCTTCAGTTTCTACTACATGCACACCATCAGGCCCTCCAATGAGCCAGGAAACATTTGAATACCTTTGGAATACTCTGGGAGAGGTCACACAAGAAGGGTGAGTAAATGGACCATTAAATTTCTTGCAGGAATTATTCTTAGAGTTTGATAACAGAATCAGTAATACAGTAAACATCATGTGTAATTATGTAGAATTTTTCTAAAAAACAATGTTAATAGTACTAATAATTGTTAAAAAATATATTTTGAAAGTGATTAATAATTTAGATTTTTATTTATAGGGGATATACAAACATAACATCTAAAGAATCAATTGACTATGCATTCAGTGAAGCTGAAGATGAAACCAGTATATCTGTTGAAAAATACAGGATTACATCCAATGATTCCATTTCAGATTTGGTAAGATATTTTGTATTTCTTTAATTAATCCAATCTCTAAAATATTCTACTTGTAGACCTTAAATTTAAATATATGGCCCATCTTTTGTTATCATATTAAAAGCAAAATTTCTGTTTAAGATAGAAAAAAGAATTTTGGTAATATGTCAAAAATCAACTGTTTGTTGTGATAAGAGCTTTTAATTTTTAGAATATTACCCATGTTGTCAATTTTGTATTAGGAACTTAGTTTTTGCAATAGAAAAATGATTTCAGAATTGTTAAAAGATTACCTGAGATGTCACTTTTTAGTCTTAAAAACTTAATTGGTTAAAAGCAAAAGTGTATTTTTAACATGTCATTTGATGTCTTATAATAAAAAAATGACAGAATTAAAATCAACACAGTGATTAACAGTACAAACATCTTAAAGTTTTCCTTTGTTTGATTTAAAACATGACATTCTCAGCTTGTATGAAGATATACACAACAGAACTCTGTAATTGTTTGTTTACAGTTATGTTTAGTGTTTCTCACTTAATAAATTTGTTTGTATTGGAAGAACAGTTTATCATTGTCAGACATCAGCATATCTCAGTTTGTCCTATCTTATAACAGAATATTGATGAAAGCTAAAAATTGTTTAAAAACCAGCCTTTTATGATAAAATTTGGATATAAAGACTTTAAAGTAGAAAAGAAATTTAAAAATTGATCTTCATATATTGTAAATAAACTGTCAACATTGCCATGCTGTTTTGCTATAAATAGCCACAGGCATTTTTACCTGGTAACCATGACAATGTCAAGCCATTGGTTTTATCAAAGTATTGAGAATGCCTCTGCAACAAATATAGATTATTGGTATTCTCATTTACCCTTATTAATATTAATTCCTAAATTATAATAATGATTTTCTTTTCTTCACCTGAATAAATTTTTACAGGTGAGCTCAGGTAAACCTTTAATGTATTCACATATATATAACAACTGATTAACGTGTATGACAGGTTTGAACAAGTTGCTAATGACAATTGTGAAAAACAAGACTTGACTTGTCTATATTTACTTCATTTACTAAAGTATAAGTCAGTTTATATCAGAGAAATGAATCAGTAGTGACAGAAACTTTTGTGTGGTATTTATTTTCTTGTCTGTGATATATTTATTATTCTATTCCGTCCAAATATGATCAAATTTGAGAGAACTGGATTTACAACCTACCGGGTAAGATCTTCTGTACATGTTTAATTCCAATAGTAAATTGCATTCAAGCCTTAAATATTTTTTTTTATTATTTTCAGTTTTTATTTTGATAGTGAGGATTGAAAACTATACTAATTACTGTTTAGCACTAAGTGAAATTTTTTTTTGTAAATTAACAGGTCTTAATTTTTTTGAAGGAATTTTTCATGAAAACACATGGCTCTGTGGGTAGGTCAGTTAGTATGCTGATCACATAAAATAACTCTGTAAAAGTACCCAGCTTTTTTTCTAATTTTTATTAATTTATAGGGTAATTTATAAATTTATTTTAATGATCACAAATTTATATATAACTTTTAAGTTTACAGATTCAATTGAAGTAAATAAATATTAAATTCCCCTTTGAAATTTTCTTGAAACATCATTCCTAAAAATAACCTAGATTAAGGACACCCTATTATATACCCTGATCTATAAGACAGGTACAAAGGTAAAAAGATTTCTCATTATCACCTAATCATTAAACGATAAAATATTGAAATTTTATGCATCTCTGTCCAGGTGTGCTGTTAAATGATTGGTCAACATAAATAATTCAGGGAAACTAATGCCAGCATCAGTATCAGCAACCCATCTAATAATAGATTAATCAATATAATCAATTTACCATTTGCATATTAAGTGAATTTCCTAAATGGAAACAAGAAAATGGTAAATTATTTATAGATCAGAAATGCTTTCGGCTGATCAGTTGCCGAAACTGTTAGTAAATTAGCATGAAGTGTGATTAATAGATATTCACTTGCATGATGACAATCAGATAATGTAAAAATGATTAAACCAACTTTATGACCAATCTTTAGAATTAATCTGATACTTAATTAATGAATCACGATAGGCGAGGTCCACCCTTCAAACCTAGTCATGCTGTATGATACAGAATGTCCATTTGAGGTAAAGCACCAAAAATAGTTTCTTTGTAATGAAACAATATGTATTTACAATAACAAAAAAAAATAATGAGGTTTTTTTTCTTTTCAGTTGAATCCAATAATTGCTCAAACAACTTCAGCAAGCTCTATGAGCCCTGACAGTCAGACCAATATCATCGGTAGTTCAGCATCCAGTCCTTACAATGATGTAAGTATTGTCATACCTTGAATATATCTGAATACTTACTCTTAGTGTAGGGAATATGATCGTGAAATGAACTAAACCATAGTGAAAAGATTATCAGAAAATTGAAATCAAACCAAAAATGTTTCAATCAACATCATTATAGTATCATAAAACTATTTCAAAAAAAGCGAGACAAAATGTAAACCATATCAATAAGTTCACAGCTGTTGAAATATTTTCTTATATCTTATATTTATTAATGAATATTTTTTTCTTTCAGACAATCACATCACCCCCACCATATTCACCACACACTAGTATGCAGTCACCTATACCTTCTGTGCCATCAAAGTAAGTCATTTAGTCAACAAATTAAAATATTGAAATTCTTTAATGGTAGATTTGTGTATGATATTCTAGTACATAAAACCGTTATTCATCTGGTCGCAGTGGTGCGAAACCAACAAAATAAAATAGGCATTCATGTGTTTTTATTTATATTTATTGGTGTAGAAGAATAAGCCGTAGAAACAAGCTTTAACCTGAAACATTTTAAATCTTATATAGGTAAATACAGGTGATCAGTGGTTTGTGACAAAGATCTAGAAAGGGTCAGTAAAGGGGACATTGAAAATTTTAAATATTTTCCAAGAAAAAGATATTTTTTTGTTCAAGAACAAGGCATAAACTTTCTTAGATCACCAGTTACGAAAACTACATAAATTTATTTATCATAAGTAAAGTGTGAGAGAAATTTCATTAAATTGCCCTCAAAGTACCTCATGGATAATATAAATATTTAAAGTATTGAATTTTTATGGTTGTTTGCCAAACTATTCAATAGAATTGTTATATTTAGGATTTGGAAGTTCATACAATGGACAGTTTTTTTTTTGTGAACCTAACAAAAGCCCTTCCTATAGATCAAATGAAAGTAAACAATGTTGAGAATATTCTTTTACCAATTTAATAGGTCATTACACTATCATAATATTTGAAAATCAATTATCTGTGCTGTTACACAATCTTATAATCCAAAAGTAAACTGTCCAAAAATAGATAATTGAAACTTTTCTGAAATGACCATTTACATTTTGAAAGAGAAAATACGATCTGTTTGAGTATTTTGATCACTTTAGGAAAATAATTCATAGTAATTTTTCTTGCTTTTATCCAATTTCTAATGGCAACATTCCCCACCCAATTTTTTTTCTTCTCTATAAATGAAAGGATATATTGGTAGATATGTCAACTGCATATTTTAAGAAAGAAAAAAAATTAATAGATGAGATCAAACGACAGGATGTACAATATAAGTTTTATTTTACAGCACGGACTATCCCGGAGATTATGGGTTTACAATTTCATTCTCTCAGCCATCAAAAGAGACAAAGTCTACCACATGGACAGTAAGTATCTTAAAACTATTTATAGCTTTATTTCATTCAATAAAGTGAAACTAGATTGTAGTATATTTCATAAAAATAAGAATAAAAACTTCCAATATCTTGATCTGTATCTTTGAATGTTAATATAACTTCCTACGGGTATTATTTTAGATAATATAACTTCCTACGGGTATTATTTTAGATAATATAACTTCCTACGGGTATTATTTTAGATAATATAACTTCCTACGGGTATTATTTTAGATAATATAACTTCCTACGGGTATTATTTTAGATACTACAATGAAAATCCTGCATACATGCAAGTGAATGGTAATAATATTATATTCTCTTTATTTTCAGTACTCAGACTCACTTAAAAAATTATATGTCAGAATGGCAACAACTTGTCCAATCCGATTTAAATGTTTGAGACAGCCTCCACAGGGATGTGTTATACGTGCTATGCCAATATTCATGAAACCTGAACATGTCCAAGAACCTGTAAAGCGATGCCCAAATCATGCCACATCTAAAGAGCACAACGAGAGTAAGTAGTTAAATAGTAAATTGTGGGAAAATATCTTTAAAACTAATTTTATCATTATCTCTTTGATGCTATTAAGTTTAATTTTTTTTTATGTACTATTGACAAAATGAAGACAGTTGAAAAAATGCCTCTAACTGAATAACAGATAAATTGATTTGTAAAAAAATGTGTGACAAAAGATTTGTTCTTAGATAATAAAACATCATTTTAATCTGTAAACAATTTGAAAAAATTAAAATCTTTTTGATCAATATTGATATTTGTTGTTAACAAGTGATTAATAAGATAATTAGTAAGCCCCAGGTAATTAGGTAATGTTTACCTGTATAGGTAAATCACTTCTGACATATCATATTGTTCAAGGATTACCTAGCTTAATCCTTTAACTGGATTTATAGGAAACCAGATTAAAATTGGTTGCCTGGGGAGGGAGCAAAGGGTTCAGGAGACAGAACCATGCTTTCCATCACCGTGCAGTCTGCAAGAACTTAATTACATTATTGCTTTAAGAGGATTAGAAGTATTCATTGAGATAATTGATCTTGTGTCTAGGTTATCTCTCTTGATAATGACAGATTTGTCTGGATGTCAGGTGATAAATTGATATAATTATAACTGTATTATGACGTAACTCTTGCACAACTGTTTTTATACTGAGAGGCATATTAAGAAGATGCAAATATTTACAAACAAATGTAATCTTGTATTTGATAAATTAGTTTTACCAATCTTTCAGTTATTTTAATTTGCATTCGTTTCTTATAGACCATCCAGCTCCAACACATTTATGCAGATGTGAACACAAGCTTGCTAAATTTGTTGAAGATCCATACACAAGTCGCCAGAGTGTTCTAATTCCACATGAGATACCTCAAGCTGGCTCAGAATGGGTCACTAATTTGTTCCAGTTTATGTGCCTGGGGTCATGTGTAGGAGGACCAAACAGGAGGCCTATTCAGATTGTGCTGACTTTAGAAAAAGAGTAAGTTCAATGTCATTCATTCATTTGTACATCACTCAGTAAAATTTGATAGTGTATTATTATAAGAAATATAATAAATTGAATATTAGGAAATCCACTACATTGATCAAAGATAATTAAAAAAAACAAAAACATTTTCAACTTTTTCTAATAGCATATGTAATAGATAGTGGTCAGTTTTTGTGTATTTTGTCTTTATATTAGTAATCTTTTAAAAAATTCAAATTCTTACAATCAAATTTGAATTTTGCAGTAATCAAGTGCTAGGAAGACGTGCAGTAGAAGTGAGAATTTGTGCCTGTCCCGGAAGAGATCGCAAGGCTGATGAAAAGGCAGCTCTCCCACCATCAAAACAGTCCCCAAAAAAAGGTAAACAATACTTCTTGAACTTTAATTCACAAAAATCAAGCTTAATTACCTGAAGCATGAAAATAGATATTGATATTAAGGAAATTATAATTGAAAACTTCTAGTATTGATTGAATTAATGATTACATCCAAGAGTTTATACACAAATTCATTAAATTTATGATAGTTGTTTATAAGGAACCTTTACTTGAAATCAGAGGGAGTAAGAAGGGTTTTTTTTTTTTGTGAAGATTCTTGACTGTTTTGTAATGTGTATTGAGAAACAAAATCTTAAATGCATTATTTTCTCATTTAAGGCAACAAAGTTAATATAATCAATGAAATCACTACAGTAACACCAGGTGGCAAAAAGAGGAAAGCAGAAGATGAACCATTTACATTAACTGTACGAGGACGAGAAAACTATGAAATTCTGTGTCGACTTAGAGATTCCTTGGAATTGTCATCCATGGTTCCCCAGAATCAAATAGACGTATATAAACAGAAACAACTTGATACAAATAGACAGTAAGTAATCAAACACACCCTCATCTGTATACCTTAGTTAATCAAGCACACCAATATGTAAATATGTTAGCCATTGAAACAAGTAGCTATGAGGATTTTACTGAGAAACTCAACCTTTCATAATTTTGCTTGGCAATTAAGATTAAGAAATTTCAGTCATAAGAAGGAATCAAGAATCAATTTTTACATTTTTTGTAATCCAAGAAATAAAGTTGGACAGTTTAATCGTAGAATTCAGATCCAACATGTTTAATGTGAAATTGGATAAATTTAAGCATAACAAATATTCTTTTATTAAAGAGGGTATTAGTTTTGAAAGAAAACTGCTCTTTTCAGTGGCTATTCATTTACCTCAGTGTAGTATAGTATAACCTTAAAACAATATATACACTTTGTTCCTTTCAATGCTTACTTAATTTCTATGCTGGAAAAAACTTCCATTTATGAACATTGTAAAGAATTTTGTATTAAAACATAAAGGTCTTTTAAAAAGATGTTAAAAAAAAATTAATTTTAAATGGAAGATGTTTCCCAACTGTGTACTGTTTGCTTTATCTAACTCTTATGATGTATGTGTGGCAGGGGTGAATTGAGGGAGTCATGGGCTAGGGGAGACAACCTGGATAAAATCTGAAGGGATTGTCTCCCTTTTAAACCATGCACATGTAAGGGTAACTGAAGATTGAGTGGAAACACTGGAATATCAATTGCATAAATTTAGATCTTTTGCATCTATGATTCACAGCAAATTTGACAGAATTTTCTTTTGAATATGTCGTAAGGTGTAATTGAACTTTTTTCAGGCTTTCATTTACGTCAACACCCAAGAAAGCAAAAATTTGTGAAGAGCAGAAATATGAGTATGACATGAAAGATTTTTATCCGAGCATGGATCTTGGCAAGAATTTTCCCTCACTTTTCACCGACAGCCACCTGAATTTTAAGGCCGAGTTTCAGTACTCGACAAACGATTACTATATGGCTGAAGTTTGAATTGATTTATAATTCTTCTTCGCCTAATGGAAGTCGTCATATCGCTAAGCCATTCTACCTGACTAATTGCAGGTGGCTGTCGATGATACTGGCCAGGGAGAACAAAAACAAACTGATGAAGAAGGTGAAACGACCTCAACATCGACCAGGAATAAAATCAAGAACTTGAAGAGAGAAGTTTCCAATTGGTCAAGGAACATTGAGGTTATATAAGGACCTTGCTTTAATGTGGTGCATTCATTTTGGACAATAATTGACATTTATCAAAATCTTTTGATAATACACTGCAGTGAGATCCAGATGATTCCATGGTCCTGAAAGGAAGGATAATTGATATTTCATAAACTGAACTTATCACGTCACCTCCTGCCATTTCACTGATGACCAAGGCAGCAACTAATGTGTTCAACTCATTATCGTTTCATTGTTTGTTGTTGTTAGGTCTCATATTGTTTTGTTTGTTTGTTAGTTAAAAGTTTTTGAGGACATAGATATTTATTTTATAGGGCATGTTTTTAGAGATTTGGTATTTAGAGTTTTAGAGGATAAATTTATATTAGCTACCTGTTTTTGAATGACATAGAATGTCTTTTAGTAAAAAGTATTTGAATCTGTTTCAATGTGAAAGAAATTTAAGACAAGCGTTCTGAATCTCATGTTTGTTTGGTTGTTTGTTTTTTTTCTAAATATAAGCAAAATCTATCAGCTTTTTATCTTTTGCCTAACTATTTGATATTTATTGAATGATGATGGTGTTATCGAGTTACATCTCAAAAGGTTGATTAAGAACCAGATGGTTTTACAAAAAAAAAGATCTTTTAAAGAATTTTTGACATTTTTGAAGATTTTCTTTTCTTCATAGTTATTAAATAGTGCTTACATTTGTAAATAATTTTCTATATAATAATTTTTTTTATTTCTGTCATGTGATATGTCTTTGATATGTGCTATTTGTGTAATATATAATAATTATTTGATATATTTATTTAATTGATGTAAATATTTTAAGGGTTATTTGTGAAATATTGCAAAAGATGTTTCAGTTTATTAACTTATAAATGGCAGCATTTGTATAATGTCATTCAAGAAAATAATAAAGTGATGAAATAAGATATTGTTCTCTATATGTTGAACCAGTTTACCAAGTTGGAAGAAATTGGACAAGATTGGGTTTTACAAGTTCTGGAAAGTCCGTTTCTCTTGTACCACTGTATGTAAAGCAAGTAGCAATCAATCAATCAATCATGTACATTTACATGTAGTGGATGATATGAAGGAGGGTTCAATTACTTTTCTTCTCTTTTGGAGCTTTATCTTGTAATATCATTATTGTCTAGATAATTGGTCAGATTTAATAGTTAATATAAAAATAAGAAGATGTGGTATGTGACTACTCTCCACCAGAGACCAAACGACATAGAAGTTAACAACTATAGGTCACTGTACAGCCTTTAGCCATGAGCAAAATCCATACCGCCATCTATTAAAGGCAAAATGCTAATGTAAAACAATTTGAAAGTTCACTTATTAGCCATTGAGACAGATCTTGGGGGGAAAATATAGTAGAACATGAAATGAGAGATTTGAGACAGCAATATGAATTAAACAAGATTTGGGGTATACATCAATGAGACAGCAACCCAATGACAAAAATAACCAAAAAATATCTTAGAGGTCATACAACTAAAAAAAAAACTTGCTAGATGAAAAGATGATTTGGTTCGCCTTTCAATTTGGTCAGATTTAATAGATAAACCTGTTTTGACATCATCAAGTTAGCCCAGACATGGAGACAAATCTTTGGGAAAAATATAATAGGGCATGTAAAAAAGAGGTTTGGGATATTACCAATGATACAGCAGCATGAGTTAAACAAGATTTAGGGTATATGTCAATGAGACAGCAACCCAATGACAAAAATGACCTTAAGACATCTGGAGAGCAAAATAAGGTCTTCAATGATACTAATATTATTCATAATATATGGTCTAGGTCATTCACACCAACAAAGTAATAGTCTTCACTCTAATAATGGTTCGGCAGTGTAGATCAGAAGTCCGGTGGACTCCTATTTGGCTTGTTGGAGATCAACCCCAGTTTGTGTTGGTGTTCCTGTTGCTCAGTCTATAGTTTTTTATGGACTTGTTTATCTCTCATCGTCTTTTTGATTTTGTCCATAGTTTGTCAGTTTCCTTTCGACTTGTGAGTTTTGAATATTGCCTTGGTATCTTGTGCCTTTCCCCTCTTTTACTCGGTGAATATTTTTAGATCACAAGTTTTTGTCATTGTTTAAGGAACAGCCTGTTCATATAAGAAAAAGGAAATGTACTTTGATTGCCAATTGAAAATTGTCTAATTGATGTGGATGTAAGGAGCTATAGGTCTCTGATGGCCTTTAACAATGAACAAAACCCATGCCATATATTAAGCTTTAAAAAGCCCCGATATGAAAAATTGTGAAATAAGTCAAAAGATCCAAATGGCTATATTTCATAAATGTTGCTTTACTTGACTAAATGACATTTCCGAGTTAAGTTAGGGTACTAGCCGACAGCTAATTGCGATGGTATGTTGGGGGAAATTACAAATAAAACTTCTCGCACAAAAATGTTCAAAAAAACCTTTTAAAACATGAACATTTAAATCAATGGAAATGAAAGTAGTCCATCATATTCAGTACTAGGTACAGGCACTTTTCATCGGACATAGTTGGGTTAGAAACACCTTTTAGGATACACTATTGTATGATGTGAGAGTTCTAAATCACACCAAACACAAAGTTAATTGTACTATTTGAATATCAGTATGTAATGAAAAATATGCAAAATAAGTCAACCAGGATAAAGGTTGGGGGAGTTAAAACTACCAAAAGTTGTTTTTACTTGATTTATGACGTACTTGTTAAAAATTACTCCTTGAGTGATTCAAGTAAATGGTTGAATACCCACTCATTTATGACTCATTTGATCCAATAGAGATTTCAGAGGAATTAACCACAATTGACCACATTCAATGTGAAATACTACCACATTTCAGAGGGAACTAACCACAATTGGCAGCATTCAATGTGAAATACTACCACATTTCAGAGGGAACTAACCACAATTGGCAGCATTCACTGTGAAATACCACATTTCAAAGAGAATCAACCACAATTGGCAGCTTTCACTGAAATACTACCACATTTCAGAGGGAATTAACCGCAATCAGCAGCTTTCACTGAAATACTACCACATTTCAGAGGGAATTAACAGCAATTGGCAGCTTTCACTGAAATACTACCACATTTCAGATGAAATCGACCACAATCAGCAATATTCACTGAAATACTACCACATTTCAGAGGAAATAAACCAAAATCGGCAGCATTCATTGTGAAACACAACCATTAAGAGTTATTTTCAACTTAATCGCCTTGTGTTTACAAATTTGTGCAAAGGAAGTTGTCACAGTATATTGAATAAACATCCATGTTCTAGCTGTGAGTGTGTATTCATAGAAAATGCATAGCCAACTGGACAGATCCTTTGTACAGTTCACACGAGATTTCCAGATAACCATTTTCTATGCTTCAGTCCCAAAACTTGTAGATAGAATCTTTGGCAAGGCCAAGGCCATGTAACTCTCTTTCTCTCTCTCTCTGCAATCAAAGATACTAGAAAAATAATTTTAAATCTAGTTATAATTTTACAGATATCCAACAAATTACTTCTTCATATTATTAACCTTCAAGATAAGTCCAAACTTGTGCAGATTTTGGTCAGTGAAATAAGCGTACAGGATACATCTTGTGTGAATTACTTTAACTTGTGTGAAGCACCTGCCTTAGACGAGTTATTGAAAATTTGAACCCTTTTTAGATCACAGACAGAATTGATCATGTATGCTTAGGACCAATTAATTACATTCTGTAAATTATTTTTTTTACTTGTACATTGATCTAATTGCCAAGAAATCCATATATTTAATTATTGATGAATCTTAATGGGGATTGAGCTATAAATGGAACTGTATTAAATATTCTATTCTCCTTATGACTTCCTGGTTCTCTTGTTTTGGATGATACTTCTGTATTCACAGACCAGGAAGAGGGTGATTTATTTATAGATATTTACACCATTGATAAGTAAGGAGTTCGTATGCCACGATATTCCATTGTTCCCGTCATAAACTATACAGAACATGAATACCACAAATTTTGTAATATCAGATTGCTTCCTAGAACAGGAGTAATTGATGAATCTTTAATGGTGTACATTATTGTTCGTTTAATTGTATTCATAGAAAATATCGATAATGTTTTAATTGAGACATATTCTATTCTACTAAAGTCCTGCAGCTGGCTTGCATTTCACAAAAGTTTATACAATTTTAGATTAGTAATCATTTTTAAATTTACAAATCGCCAAAGGTGGGACTGTTGTGACATTGTATAGACACCTGTCTATTGACTGTATGATGCCTTTTGGTTATTGACGTCATTGGGTTGCTGTCTCATTGACATAAACTCCACATCTCCTTTTATTGATATACATTGACCTTGTAAGTCTCTCTGTGTGTCTGTCCATAACTTTCAATACATATTACTCGGCTTCTGTATTACAGAAATATTTCCTGTTTAATCTGGAACCTTATATTGTTGAGTTGTACATGTACGATGTTATAAACCATTTTCAGATCTGCAGTCTGCAGGGCTTCAAAATTGATTTTGGAGGTAAAAGTTTCAAAGACTTCATGTATATGTATTTACAAATCAAAAGTTCAAGGTCCTACTTTGGAACGAAAAAGTCAGGGACCTTAGAATTTTATTTTTTTGAACCCCCGAGTGATGGGAGTTTTTCATCCATGTCTAGTACTGAGTATTATTGCGGGTTTTTAAATAGCAGCTAAGCATCTGTTGACATTTACAGTATTTTAATTTCTTTTGCAGATCATCGCCAACAACAGCAAGGGTGGTTACTCTTCCTACTCACGACAACACCCCAATAACTATACAGAGTGACAATCGGCAGACGACACTACCATTCACTGCAGACTTAAATGGTCAGGTGACAAGTTCACAAAATGGTGTAGTGGAAAGTCATGGAAATATTAAAGAAGAACTGATGGCTAATGGAGATCATTCAATATCAAAGTATGTTCAAAAAAGATATACTGTAGATTCAGAAGTTTTTGCGATGTTTTTATTATTGTTAAAATTGCAATGAGATCGGTTTCAAAAAAATAAAAGACTCACATTTTGATTATTTATACCATTATTTTTGCACATCAGCATTTCCTGACATCGCAATAATTAATCTCTCATCCATGACCTATTTTCATCAATCGCAATAATAAATGCATGCAAAAATTTCTGAATTTAGAGTACTGTGGGTTCATTATTTATATCCATGTGGTACTTATTTTGGTGGATTTCATGGGGAAAGGTTAACCAATAATGTAAGTGTAAAACAAAATTCAAATTTACTACAAGCTGGTCATAGCAAATTTTTTTCACATTATTTTTTTCCAGTCTCATAAGGTGGTACATAACACTACAGGGAGATAACTCTGTAAAAATCAGCTGAACGTTTTAATCACGTTTTATTGTTAAGGAAATATTAAGCTTCTCAATGATCAAAGTTAGTGTTTGTCAAACTGCTATATATCCTATGAAATTTTTTCGATAAAGTTTGTGGTTCAAATTTTTTCAAATTTTTATACGACCGCAAAAAAATTTTTGTGGTCGTATATTGGTATGACGTTGGCGTCGTCGTCGTCCGGCGTCGTCCGAAGACACATTGGTTTTCGCACTCTAACTTTAGTTTAAGTGAATGGATCTTTATGAAATTTTACCACAAGGTTCAATACCACAAAAGGAAGGTTGGGATTGATTTTGGGGGTTATGGTAATAACAGTAAAGGAATTAGGGGCCAAAAAGGGGCCAAAAATAAGCATTTTTGTAACTTCCAGACATAACTTGTGTGTTAGTGTATGGATCTCTCTGACATTGTACCACAAGGTTCCATATCACTAAAGGAATGCTGGGATTGATTTTGGGGGTAATTGCCTCCAAATTTTAGGAATTAGGGGCCAAAAAAGGGGCAAAAAACAAGCATTTTTCTAGTTTCATGACAATAACTTGTGTGTAAGTGTATGGATCTTTCTGAAATTGTACTACAAGGTTCCATATCACAAAGGGAAAGCTGGGTTTGAGTTTGGGGGTAATTGCCCTAAACGTTTAGGAATTTGGGGCCAAAAAGGGGCCAAAAAACACATTTTTTTCTAGTTTCCAGACAATAACTTGTGTTCAAATGTATGGATCTCTCTGAAATTGTACTGCAAGGTACCATACCACAAAGGGAAGGCTGGGATTGAGTTTGGGGGTGATGAATCATAATGGGGGTTCAAAAAATTTTGGGGGGGGTTTTATTTTTTTTTCCTTTTTTTTCTTTTTTTCCTTTTTTGTTTCTTTTAAAATTTTCCATTTTAAGTTGGTTATTTCTGATTTATATTTAAAATCAAATAATAATGATATGGTAGGAGATACACACCAAACAGGATGTGTAAATTATTATATAATAAGTATTGTGCAATAGCAAGAAATTTTCAATTGCACAGTATTGCACAATAGCAAGAAATCTTCAATTGCACAGTATTGCGCAATAGCAAGAAATCTTCAATTGCACAGTATTGCGCAATAGCAAGAAATATCCAATAGCACAATATTGCGCAATAGCAAGAAATTGTCAATTGTACAGTATTGCGCAATAGCAAGAAATATTTAATAACACAGGATTGTGCAAAAGAAGATACTTCCTATAAATTGCTTATTTCTTGACCAATTTCAATGGGGTTTTATTCTTGATTTCATGGGGTTCTTTAATATGCTGAATCTAACCGTGTATTAAGTTTTTGGATTTTGGGCCCCGTTTTTAAATTGGTCCACATTGAGGTCCAAAGGGTCCAAAATTAAACTTTGTTTGATTTCATCAAAAATTGAATTATTGGGGTTCTTTGATATGCCGAATCTAACTGTGTATTTTGATTCTTAAATTTTGGTTCCGTTTTCAAATTGGTCTACATTAAGGTCCAAAGGGTCCAAAATTAAACTTAGTTTGATTTTAACAAAAATTGAATTCTTAGGGTTCTTTGATATGCTGAATCTAAACATGTATTTAGATTTTTGATTATGGGCCCAGTTTTCAAGTTGGTCCAAATCGGGGTCCAAAATTAAACTTTGTTTGATTTCAACAAAAATTGAATATATGGGGTTCTTTGATATGCTGAATCTAACCATGTATTTAGATTTTTTATTTTTAGGCCCCGTTATCAACTTTGTCCACATTGAGGTCAAAAGGGTCCAAAATTAAACTTTGTTTGATTTCATCAAAAATTGAATTATTGGGGTTCTTTGATATGCCGAATCTAATAGTGTATTTAGATTCTTAATTTTTGGTTCCGTTTTCAAATTGGTCTACATTAAGGTTTAAAGGGTCCAAAATTAAACTTAGTTTGATTTTAACAAAAATTGAATTCTTAGGGTTCTTTGATATGCTGAATCTAAACATGTATTTAGATTTTTGATTATGGGCCCAGTTTTCAAGTTGGTCCAAATCGGGGTCCAAAATTAAACTTTGTTTGATTTCAACAAAAATTGAATATATGGGGTTCTTTGATATGCTGAATCTAACCATGTATTTAGATTTTTGATTTTTGGGCCCCGTTATCAACTTTGTCCACATTGAGGTCAAAAGGGTCCAAAATTAAACTTTGTTTGATTTCATCAAAAATTGAATTCTTGGGGTTCTTTGATATGCTGAATCTAACCATGTATTTAGATTTTGGATATTGGACCATAATAGGTGAATGTCCAATTTAAAATTTTTAAGTTCTTAGACCACATTCAATCTGTGTTAGAAACCTATGCTGTGTCAAATATTTAATCACAATCCAAATCCAAAGCTGTATCAAGCTTGAATGTTGTGTCCATACTTGCCCCAACTGTTCAGGGTTCGACCTCTGCGGTCGTATCAAGCTGCGCCCCAGCGAAGCATTTTATTATATTTTTGTCAAAGGGTCAAAGTAAATATTTTGTCAAAATTTTATGAAAATTAAACGAGCCAAATTAATTTTAGTCAAGGTGTTTGGTACCACCTTAAATCTTTTGCGATAATAAGTTGGTTTACAGTAAACAACATGACTCTTATTGTTACACTGAAATATTATTTCTTAAGTAGGATTTATGAAAAGGGAAAAGAAATGTGCTGACATTGCTTTTGTTTAAAGAAAAAAGGAAACCCAAACAATTGAATTAGTTCTAAAGATCATACTGCATGACTAAGAAAATGTTTATTTCCATTGGGCAGTCTATCTTAAATTTTAAATTGGTTTGACTTCTTCTTTTATTTTGAAACTGTTTGTCTATCATAAGCTAATGTCATTGATGTTGCGTAGAAAAGTATCTATGGTCTTTTAATTTGGGCATCTCAATCTAGCCCTTCTACGAAAATACGAATATTTTATTAAACCAATTATTGGCCCATAAAAGGCATGTTACATATAATGATAAGTAAAAAAACAATAATGATAATGCTTATGATAATATGGATTTATTTATAGCAGTTGTTTCTTATTGTGAAATTTATAACAAATTACCTCCACAGTGTTGCATATTTAATATTCATGTTCACAAGAAAAATAGAAATCTTTTATGAGATTGAAGCCATAGCTTTCATTTTCAAAACCATAATTAATATATAAGTATTCCTGCTGACTTTGTCCATCTATCCAATATATATTTATTGATTCATACTTTATATTTTATATGTTTTGATGTTTTCTAGTTGGTTGACTACCCTTGGTTTATCAGCGTACATAGATAACTTCCATCAGCAAAATCTATTTACAATGGAGCAACTCGATGATTTTACTGTTGAGGTAAGTAATTCTACTTTTTACTGTAACTTAAATTGATTGTTGTTTGTTCATTATCCTGTGGCAAGTATTTCATGCATATACAGTACACTTTAACCACTTCAAAATGAGGACAATGTTTAATACGGCAAGAAATTTTACCTTTTAAAAGGATATATTGATCCTCTTGAATAGATTTTTGGTAGGCACATAAAGATGAAAAAGGCTGCAATGCATTGAAGGACTTGAACATTGATAAGGCCAAGAATCATGTGTTCATGATTTTCTGACCAACCACATAGTATGGCTACAACCATAGTGTTTGTGATGATTTCTTCAAAAACCTTACTGCAGCCTATCATTTGTTGTAACTGATAACATTTGTAATCAAAATTTGTGACAGAAACCACTTACATTTTGTTCATTGACAAATTGCAAATGTTGAACATTTATATGATACCAAAACCAGACGCAGTAAATACACCATTTTCTTTAATTCTGTTCACAGGATTTGCAAAAGATGAGAATAGGAACAAGCCACAGAAATAAAATCTGGAAAGCTCTGGTAGAATTTCATAGCGAGTCTATTACTATTAGTGATTCACAAAGTCTGCAAAGGGACGTCAGCACTGCATCCACCATCAGTATGACATCACAGGCCAGTATCTCACAGAATTCACAAAATTCAACGTATTGTCCGGGATATTATGAGGTTACCAGATATACATTCAAACATACAGTTTCCTATACGAAATTGGATGAAAGAAGTCCAAAAAGGGCTAAAGTAGACTGATATGCAATATGAAGACTTATGCCATCACCAAACTAGGCTTAAGATTATTGGTCAGTCCATTACTGTGTATTGGACTGATATATAGATCAAATGCAATATGGTGCACTAATCAATGTCTGAATGTAGACATTTTAATCTGATATTTTGTTAGACCGCCTGTTTTTAGAACAAATATAAGATTTTGTCATGTGACCCGTATGGACCAATTATTGATTTCAACTGTTTTTAGACAAATCAAGATTTTTGTTGTGTGACCAGTATGGACCAATTATTGATTTGAAATGGTTATTTATTAAACTGATGATGATGATACTTGCGTGTAAATGTTTCTTTTTCTTTAAATATTGTAATTTTTCTATTACAGTTTAAGATTAAATTTCATACAAAATGTTAAAGCAAGACCACTTTATCTTCAAAGTGTTTCGCAGATTTTCTTACTAAGGGTCAGCTTTATTTAGGTATCAACAGGGGCTATTTTCAAAACTGGTAGCTTTTTTAAGTAAAACTTATAATTTATTCAGGTTGTATGAAGTAGACTTTCTTTAGTTGTTCAGCTGGTATTATGGTGGGACTACTTCATGCAAAACAGCTACATATATGTTTATAAAATAATCTTTGAAGGCCACTGAATCAAACATTCAAAGCCTTGATGTCTTACTATTTTTACTGTTAACAATCTATTTATAACACTAATTATGCTTCTAATAAATTTAACAATAGGTGCTTAGACATAACACTTAAGATTGTTATTAAAATGGCCTTTAAATTTGTGTCCATTCTGGTTGTTATTGTTGATAGAGAAAACAAAGGAAATGCCGTTTTCTGAATGTTGTTGATTATATATATATATTTATATGCATTTTGTTTGTTGTTCTGCTGAGATCAAGTTCAGGGTAGAATTTCTGCAATTGTATTGAGAACATATTATTCATTTCAAAATTCCCACAAAAATTCCATAGTAGGGATTTCATATGAGGCTCAGTATGTCATTTGCAAAGATTGTTGTCATTAATAACTGCCATGTAGCATTTTGCAGAAGAACTACTCTGAGCTAGTGTGAGTTATAACAATAATAGTGTTCAAATTTTATGATAAAACTATGTGTTCAGAATAATCATTTAAACATCGAACTTTAAAAAGTGTTCAACATTAGATTCATTTGCATTCATGTATATCATTTAGTGTTTTTAACTGCTGATTTTGCAACAGTGCTATAAATTGAATCAAATATTTTGCAAAATGGGGATTCATTATTTCCCTCATAATTTCATTAATTAGTATTGTCCACCTTTTGTCCACTAAAGATGCTTATTAATTGATTCAAAAAAGATTTTTTTTCATCTGTTAACGAAATTGGCAAAATTTGTCAAAACACATTCTTTTATAAGAAGAAGGGAAATTACTCCAATACTTTTTGTATATAATAATCAATTAATACAACATAAACAGATGGATTTATTTGAATCATCCATTTGTTTTTAAAAAAAATTTAAATTCCAGTGATGAATTTTGTTTCTTCAAAGGAAATTTTACTTCATTATCATTCCATTTTCTACCATTGTAATTCATTCTGTTTCCGTCCAAATACATTGTTCTTTTGTTCATGCAACTACAAATGAGTGGCTATTTATCTGTTTAATTAAACACTTCCAGATTATTTATTTACCCATCTCAGTATTTGTTTAATTAGATCAAATGTTCAATTTATTCTTTTAATTTTAAAAATGAATATAGTATCTTAAGTTTTATTAATTTTTTTTTAAAACATATGGACATTTATTTTAAAGAGTTCATCATCAAGTTTGGATTTCTTTATGAAAAAAAATGCAGATGTTTCCTGACATATAGAAACAGATAAATAGCAAACTACTAGGAACAAAATAGCAATTATAACTACAAAGGGAGATAATTAGAAATTATATCTACAAGGGAGATAAGAAGGAAAAGCAAAATATTGTAGTTCATATTTAAGTTTGCAATTGTATTTATTGAAAGCTTTGTTCTTGTTTTTTTTTAATGTTATTGATAATATTTTACTTGTTTTTTTGTTTGTCAAATAAGTATCATGCATTTTTTAATACCTTGTACAGTTTTATATCTGTTTTGAAGAGTGTTGATGTATAAGACTATGTAAATTTTATGTGTGTTAACCAATATTTAAGAAACATTTTAATAAGTTGTAATATAAGATTGACTATAATACATTGGTCAGATATATGGAATGCTGATTACAGGGGCAGTAACATCAGATTAGAGATTTTTCTGTTTGGTTTTATTCCAGTGTTCATTTCTGTTAAACAGTTTTTCCTATGATTTATGGAAAAGACATGAATTTAGAGTGCAGTATAAACAATCAAGATATCTTATTGACATACCGTAATATGTTGGTATTTTTTTGTTTTTTTAATAAGAAAGTCTGCATGCAAATTCTCATATAATTGTGGTTGTACTACCGTGTGTGCTCAATTTTTTTTATCTTTGTTAGGTCAAATGTTTACTGAAACTTTCCTAGTGTTTCTTGTGAGCATGAGGTTTTATTCTATTGGTTACCTTATAAAAATCATTTAATGGCTTATCTATAATCCAAATTAAGTGATGGCATTTCTCAAAATGGCATCTACAGAAAATTGGTTGAAATTTCAAAAGAGAAAGTAAAAATGCGTTTTTCAATGTGGAGAGCAGAGTAGGTGAGAATATTCTCCTTATTTTGAATTCTGGGTTTTTTTATTACATACTTGTTATAAGATGTTTCAACAATACTGTATACCATTTCACTAAGAGCTCTCATAATGATATTATGAAAAAAACATTCACATTTATAATTTACTGGAATAGTTTTATTGGCTGTTGAACAGCATGAGACATAAAATTAACATGCATGTAACTCTTTTATGTGTTTTATGAAACGGTATCCTGGAGATAGAATTTGTGGGACCTCATGAAACTGATCATGTCTTAAACATTGGAAACCAAATCACTAGACCTCATCACACTGGTCATTCATATTTTTCACTTTAGAAACACACAACAATTGCTTAAACTTAGTGATTTCTTATATAAACAATTAGTAAACCTGGATGTCTTAATGGTTATTGGGGGGTAGGAGGGTTTCTCATTGTTATATCCTGATCTCACTTATTCATAGCATCTTGATATCTTTAATTGGGGAAGATTTTTCATTCAATAAAAAAAAAGTTCCATGTAATTTATGTTTATGGTAATAAGGTTCAATTTCTTTTAGGATTTCCAGAAGATTCACACTAAACATTTTGAAAATTTAATCAAAAATCCATTTTAACTTTTAAATCTTTATTGGCAAATATTTGTAAAAAAAATTTTAGTTGCTAAATTCCAAAATACAATGTAACTAAAAAAATCTTATTTTTTCTTAGGAACTCTATTCTTTAGTTAAACCTAATAAATGAAGCTTTATATTGTTAGGAACTAAACCGTGACTTGTATGAATAACCAGTGTTAATTTGTTGATATAAAGGGTGAGTGCAAGATATCATTCTGTTACAGAAATCCATGTTCATATAAATCAGTTTGTTATTTGTGCTATGAAAAAGCATTATACAAATAAAGTATCTTTTATACAATTAATTTCTGTTTTATTTGGGCAATCAATTGTACATGCTAGTGAAGATGACTGCAGGACATTTTAAAATGGTTTTTCTGTTATTTTAGTTGCTTGATATTTAAGTCTGTTACATAAAAAGTTTTTTGAGCCACTTGATGTTTCTTAACCCTTACTTTGCTGGTCCAATCATTTGACGGTTTTGGTGTCATTTTGAGGTTTTTGGCCTACAACATTGATTCAAAGTGGGGGTTGTCCATTCTGATGTGGTATTCAGAAAAGTTAAATGAGTGAAGGATTGAAAATTCTTAAAACTTTAATTCCTACTACTTCCTTTAAAAAAAAGATCATGGATTAATATGTCTCAACAACAAATGAATTTAAAACTGCTACTGTACATAAAAATCATCCAACGGCTATTGAACATACAAATTATCCAACTGCTACTGCACCTAAAAGAGATCTAGCGGCTAATGTACATAGAAAAGTCCAACTGCTACTGTAGATTAAACAAAAACATCCAACTACCAATGTACATAAATAAATATGACTTACTGTACATGAAAAACATGAACTGTCATTGTACATTAAAAATTATCCAATTTAGACTGTATACATTAAAAAGTTCAAACTGCTACTTTACTAGAAAAATTATCCAGCTGCTACTCTTCATAAATAAAACATCCAACTGCTACTATACATAAAAAGTGGTTCAAACAGCGACTGTACTTCAAGAAAAGATCCAATTGCTTCTGTACTTAAAAGAAGTTGATCTGACTGCTTCTTTACTTAAAAAATAAGATCCAACTGCTACTGTACATCAAAAAGATCCAACTGCTTCTGTACATAGAAAAGTTCCAATCGCTATTGTACATTGACAAGGTTTCCACTTTATATTGACCTCTTGAGTTGCAAAAGATCTGCATCTGTTCTGCATATTGGCCTCTTACCAATTTTCTAAAATTGTGACACCTTATGTATAATAGCAATATAAACTATTTATAGAGGCTGAGATTACTATTACATAATTATTGTATAACAGTAGTTTTAGATTAAGTGTTGGATATTCTTCGGAAGTCTTGGATAAGCTAGAGACTAAAATAAAATGCTCCGCTGGGCGCAGCTTCATACGACTGGAAACTAGAAAAATGCTTGTTATTAGGCCCCTTTTTGGCCCCAAATTCCTAGACTTTTGGGGCAATTACCCCCAAACTCAAACCCAGCTACCTTTGTGATATGGAACCTTGTAGTACAATTTCATAAAGATCCATACACTTACACACAAGTTATTGTCATGAAACTAGAAAAAATGCTTGTTTTTTGCCCCATTTTTGGCCCCTAATTCCTAAAATTTTGAGGCAATTACCCCCAAAATCAATCCCAGCCTTCCCTTTGTGGTATGGTACCTTGCAGACCAATTTCAGAGAGATCCATACACTTGAACACAAGTTATTGTCTGGAAACTAGAAAATCGCTTATTTTTGGCCCCTTTTTGGCCATTTTTTCCTAAACGTTTTGGGCAATTAACCCCAAACTCAATTCCAGCTTTCCCTTTGTGACATGGAACCTTGTAGTACAATTTCAGAAAGATCCATACACTTACACACAAGTTATTGTCATGAAACTAGAAAAATGCTTGTTTTTTGCCCCTTTTTTGGCCCCTAATTCCTTAAATTTTAAGGCAACTACCCCCAAAATCAATCCCAGCATTCCCTTTGTGATATGGAACCTTGTGGTACAATGTCAGAGAGATCCATACGCTAACACACAAGTTATGTATGGAAGTTACAAAAATGCTTATTTTTGGCCCCTTTTTGGCCCCTAATTCCTTAACTGTTGGTACCATAACCCCCAAGATCCATTCACTTAAACTAAAGTTAGAGTGCGAAAACCAATGTGTATTCGGACGACGACGACGACGACGCCGGACGATGACGACGCCAACGTCATACCAATATACGACCGCAAAATTTGTTTGCGGTCGTATAAAAATAAGTACAGTATTATATGTCTCTGGATAGGCTGTCTTCATTTGAAATCCGATTGTTTTTGTTGACAAAATTTCTTTTCTACTTTTTAGTTCACCTTGCCAAAAACGGTTAATGAGAGTCATTACTATCACTAAGTGTCTTTTTAAAAAATCCTCATTTGAAACTGGAAAGAATAGATATATAAGTCCCAGTTTGAAACCAATGAGTTAGATGGGACCAACTTAGGCCTATTTAATCCTTAAGAGGGTGGGGTCTGCTTCGAAACTATATTTCGTGGTCCACTCGACAGACAGACTGACAAGGGTCAAGGTTTTTATCAGAAATAAAATACGAGTGATATCAGCAACAAAATTCTTTTAAAAGCTTCTGTCAAGGAATTGGATGCTTAAAGATACTAATATCAAGGTGACCTTGAGATGGAGAACTCCAATAAAAGTGCTGTTCCTTTGCTTTTTGTGTGCTATTTGCTGTGCATGTACTGATTTTGTGTCATGGATGGATACCCCATATTCTTTGTTTTTATACGACCGCAAAACAATTTTGCGGTCTTATATTGGTATGACGTTGGCGTCGACGTCGTCGTCGTCCGAAGACACATTGGTTTTCGCACTTTAACTTTAGTTTAAGTGAATGGATCTCTATGAAATTTTATGATAAGTTTCAAAACCAGAAAAGGAAGGTTGGGATTGATTTTGGGGGTTATGGTACCAACAGTTAAGGAATTTATGGCCAAAACGGGCCAAAAATAAGCATTTTTGTAACTTCCAGACATAACTTGTGTGTTAGTGTATGGATCTCTCTGACATTGTACCACAAGGTTCTATATCACAAAGGGAATGCTGGGATTGATTTTGGGGGTAATTGCCTCAAAATTTTAGGAATTAGGGGCCAAAAAAGGGGCAAAAAAACAAGCATTTTCTAGTTTCATGACAATAACTTGTTTGTAAGTGTATGGATCTTTATGAAATTGTACTACAAGGTTCCATATCACAAAGGGAAAGCTGGAATTGAGTTTGGGGGTAATTGCCCAAAACGTTTAGGAATAAATGGCCATAAAGGTGCCAAAAATAAGCATGTTTCTAGTTTCCAGACAATAACTTGTGTTCAAGTGTATGGATCTCTCTGAAATTGGTCTGCAAGGTACCATACCACAAAGGGAAGGCTGGGATTGATTTTGGGGATAATTGCCTCAAAATTTTAGGAATTAGGGGCAAAAAAGGGGCAAAAAAACAAGCATTTTTCTAGTTTCAGGACAATAACTTGTGTGTAAGTGTATGGATCTTTATGAAATTGTACTACAAGGTTCCATATCACAAAGGGAAAGCTGGAATTGAGTTTGGGGGTAATTGCCCAAAACGTTTAGGAATTTGGGGCCAAAAAGGGGCCAAAAAACAAGCATTTTTCTAGTTTCCAGACAATAAATTGTGTTCAAGTGTATGGATCTCTCTGAAATTGTACTGCAAGGTACCATACCACAAAGGGAAGACTTGGATTGAGTTTTGGGGTGATGAATCATAAGGGGGTTCAAAAAATTGGGGGTGGGGATTTTTTTTCCCCCTTTTTTTTCCTTTTTTTTTCTTAAAAATTTTCCATTTTAAATTGGTTATTTCTGATTTATATATAAAAGCAAATAATAATGATATGGTTTGAATAGGTAAATTAAAAATTTTAAAGTCCTTAAACCACATTCATTCTGTGTCAGAAACCTATGCTGTGTCAAATATTTAATCACAATCCAAATTCAGTGCTGTATCAAGCTTGAATGTTGTGTCCATACTTGCCCCAACTGTTCAGGGTTCGACCTCTGCGGTCGTATCAAGCTGCGCCCAGCGGAGCATTTTATTCTATAAATATACCAAGTTAGTTGGCCAATTCTTGCTTTTGTAAAGGACCAAATTCTACTGAAGTAGGGAAAAATCGGTTTGTGATCGCCTAAAAGAATTATGATTTAGGATGATAATATAACATTTGTCGTCTGTAAAGCACAATATTGTCCTGTGAAATAGAGTCCCCTAGAACTGAATTTCATGATTATCTATCATTATATGTTGTCCCTTTCTATGAAATAATGTCCAGAGAACGACAATTTTTCATATGAAATTTTGTGTACATATAAAATCCCGCTGAGGGAAGATCTAACATGTTTGAGCTAAATTTGAGACGAATTATATATATATGGTGTTAGCCCTGTAGACACGTGTTATGGGATGGAGAATATGTCTGTCATAAAGTTGTCTCATGTTTAGACGATATATATAGATATTTCATTCATTGATTTTGTCTTGTTAAAGGGGGGTTATCCAAAAGACAAATTGAACGAGTTGGTATTGCTTTGTTTCATTAAAAAGAATGGCGAACGTAGATACAAGTATCTTGTCTTGGGGAGGGATAAATCCTACCTTGTAAAGAATTCAAACAAAAAATTCTCTGAAACTGACATTATCAAGATGCTTGATGTCTTGATTGACAACATATTTGTTACGTTTGGAGGACGTGTTTTTCAACAGACTGTTGGAATTCCAATGGGAACCAATTGTGCCCTCTTCTTGCCGACTTGTTTCTTTATTATTATGAGGCTGACTTCATACAGGAACTGGGGCCGCCACGAAAAAGCCCAAAAGCGGTGCTTAAAAGTGGCGTTAAAACACCAAAAATCAATCAATCATACCGGAACTTCTTAGGAAGAAAGATAAGAAGCTAGCAATATCCTTTGACTTTACGTTCTGCTATATAGATGATGTGCTCTCACTAAATAATACAAAATGTGGTGACTATGTTTGAACGAATCTATCCCATCGAACTAGGGATAAAGGATACTACAGATACAGTTAAGTCTGCCTCATATCTTGACTTACATCTAGAAATTGACAATGAGGGTCGGTTGAAAACAAAACTTTACGACAAAAGAGATGATTTCAGCTTCCCAATTATGAACTTTACATTTCTATGTAGCAACATTCCAGCAGCGCCTGCTTACGGAGTATATATCTCCCAATTGATACGATATTCCCGGGCTTGTATTTCCTATCAT